CAGATACATTCTATTCATGAAACTGCATATTCATCACAAATATTAAAATACACCAATAGATATATTCGTATAAAAACAACATATTCATCACAAATATTAAAATATACCAATAGATACATTTTTAAACTACATATTAGCCTACTATATGTATGTATTATATATACCATTTTTTTTTTTTTTTTTTTTTTTTTTTTTTTTGACGAAATAACTGCTTTATTCCAAACAATAGCTATATTTATTTATTTATACTTGCAAATTGTTTTTTTTTTTGTTTTTTTTTCACGTTACACTTTACAAGTAATTAATATTTCAATTCACCTAAACAGTTCTAAAGACATGACAATAAAACTTGGCATGATACAAATATACAATAGATAGAATACAAAATATCTTGTCAAAATATCTTAACAAGCAGTCTATAATATTCAATATAAAGAACTAATTTAAAGAAACAATAACACAAATATAATGATGTAAATATGCGTTATGTGACCCGATTTTTTTTTTTTTCTTCTTTTTAAATCTAACATACATTTGATAAACAAGTAAATACAGTATTATACAATCTGGAAGTATAAAATACACCAAACTCAAACGTTTTTACATATGTAGAAAAATTCAAAAATCAAAAAAAAATCTAGTATTGCGAAGTAATGTCATGGTAAAATTGAAATATTAAATCATCCGAAACCAAAGTTTGTCTTTATTTTCCCACACAGTATAAAAGTAATAGAAAAGAAATAGTATAGTTTGGTTATTATAAGATGTCAAATTAAAATATGGTTTAGGTAATTGGAAAGATTTGTTAACGGAGATGTTTTGTATATGTGTTGTAGTGAACTTACGATAATAATATAAATACGGACATTTTTCAAACAAGTGAGTAAGTGTCTCTTCTTTAATTTTGCAATAATTACAAGTTATATCAATTCTATGGAAAGTACGTGATTGTAAAAGTTGCTTTGTTTTAAGTGCAGAATGAACAATAAAATACAGAAAATCTCGTTGTCTACTCAGTAGAAATTTGTTTTGTTGGAAATTAAATACGTTTTGAAGATTTAGCCCCTTGTTATTGGAAATTACATTAGGTGTATGTTTTATCTTTAATAAAAGTTCTGTATAGATCGTCTTTGTTTCATTTTTTAATTTCCAGTTGATGAGTGCCGAGTGATTAAAGTAAGTATCTTTTATTTCAGAGATAGTTGATGGTGAATTGATGTTATATAATATGGATGGGTGGTATGGAATATGGTTCCTTAATGTAATGCCAAACCAGTACAACCCTTGAGCTTTCCAGGCATGTTGAGGTTTAGAGTGTCTTAATATTAACTGGTTGATGATTTTAAGGTGAGAACATTGAATTTTTAAGTTTATGTCCAGAATTTTTAACCCACCTCTTTCTAAATCTAAGGTGAGCGTTCGACGTTTATCAGGTGGGATTATTTCGATCCCTGCATTGGCCGAGAAAGTTCATCCAGATTTTCCGGCGTGGTTCTCCCTTATCAGTGATGCAGGACGGAGGGGCTGACAAGGAAAGCTGTCTAGTCGTTCGGATGGGACGAAAAACCGAGGTCCCGTGTACACATTGGCGTGCACGTAAAAGATCCCTTGGCAGTTGGAATTCGATATAAGAGTAGGCCGTAGTGCCGCTGTCCGGGCAAAATTTCCCTCATAGCACACTGTATGGCGTATGCCCGTCTTCATTAGCCCAGGTTAGGAGCAGAAAAGTAGGACGTTAAACTCCATTTCATTTCATTTCAGGTGGGATTATATAACTGGTGTACCAGATTTTACTAAGAATGTACGTATTGAGTACCGTTACTTTTTCTTTAAGAGACAGATTTTTTGACCCTTCTTTAAAAAACTTCAATTGACCTAACAAAGAATCAGTTAATTTTTTCCAGTTATGGTATTTAATATCTTTTCCAAAATAGATTCCTAAAACTTTAATACTGTCTTTAGGTATTAAGACTGTTGTATTGTTGAAATATTTTATTTTCAAGAGTTCGGTTTTGTTAATGTTTAGTCTTGATCCAGATATAGCCCCAAAGGATGTGATTTCCTCGACAGTTTGATTGATTGATGTTGAGTTAGTGATAATAGTTGTGATATCGTCTGCATGTTGGAACAATTTTGTATCTATTTTCATGTTTGGTATTTTAATTCCTGAGATGCATTTGTTTTGTATTATTCTTGATGCAAGCGGGTGTATTGCTATTGCATATAATAACATTGAGAGGGGGTCTCCTTGGCGTATCGAGCGATTAATAGGAATGTTGTCGGTAAAGGCACCATTTACAAGAACCTTGCTGTTTATATTTTTATATAATATATTTAGCCAATTTAGAATATATCTAGGAAAATTTAACTTTTTAAGCAGGATTTGTAGATAATTTATTTCTATTCTGTCAAAAGCTTTCTCTTGATCATAGGCCACTAGCGCGTTAGACACTACACCACCTTAACCCAGGACTTGAATTGATCCATTGTATATCTTAATAAGTGTTGGTGTAGGCCTTTGATCATGTTGTTGCTAAGTATGGCTTCGGTTATGTTGTTGTATTTTGTCTATACATATATATATATTTGCCTCATACCTGTTTTACTGTATTAGCTTGATAACGTTGAGAGAATACTCTACGAAAAGTCGCCTTAAATACACTAGTAGCTGTTTTCTATAAGTATGTGTTTTGTTGTTATATAACTTTTACCTGTTATGATTTTTATAAACAGATATAAATCGTTTCGACTTACACACTAAGAGGCTTAAAAACCTTGTAATAAATATGTAGATTCTATTTTCGAACTGAATTTAATGGCTAAAAGGGATCAAAATTATTTCAAACGGAGAGAGAGAGAGAGAGAGAGAGGGGGGTGGGGGGTAAGATCCACTCGACACAAAATAGGTCATTTCGGGACTATCACATGGTTTCATTTTATTTCAATAATTCGCAGTGGGAGGAAACTGGAGGACCCGGGAAAAACCCAAACTAGGTCATTTCGAGATTAACACATGGTTCAATTATATTTCGACAGGGGTCTTTAGCAATGGGGGGGGGGGGGAAACCGGAGGACCCGGAGAAAACCCACGAGGTTGGACACGCGACCCTACTCCTTGTCACGTACAACCGGGAATTCGAAACCACGCCAGTTGAATCAATGACAGGCGTTATGATACTGCTCGCACATGCTAACCATTTGGCCACCCCTCCCTTCAAACTTATAAATATTATGATTATTATAAAAAAAAAGATATAAGTCATTTCGACATACACACTAAGAGGTTAAACCCTGTAATAAAAATGTAGATTCTATTTTAATAGCTACGAGCGTATGTGACAATAATATACTTTGGACTTTGTTTTTGTTCCATTTGTTCCATAGACTTTGATTAACCTTGAAGATCGACACCACATGTTTGATGAGAGTGTTGCCACCTGCATCTATATTTGGTCTTTACTAAAAGTTTAAAGTCCGATAACGTTCTGCACACAGAGATCCATATACGTCATACTTCGAGAAAAGATCTCTGCCCTAAATGGCCGCCATATCCAAATATTCGTATACTGTTTTGTAATGCGGTTCTACCCCGTTTCACATCTGTCATACACACAAATCAAATTTTTCAATTTTATTTGATGGAAACAATTCTTGAAGTGGGACTTAAATAAACACTTAACAGAATAAATACTTAAAATTCTTGAAATAGGACTTAAAATGACGGTCAACTGGCTTAGTGTCTGTTCTCCAGCGGAACTAACTGTAGACAGGCAGTCAAAGTTTAGTATGGTCCGATAACAGAGATAGGCCTATATAACGGTCTTAGTGTTTTTACAAACGTAAACAATTTTTTGTATTACCCGTTTTATACTCCACCTTTTCGCGTGGACATATTATAAAGCCGTCGCTCATGTTGTTCTGGTCTTCGTGGAACTTACATTATATTAATTATGCTTATATCCCATATAGATCCTTAATAGATTCCATTTTGACATGGCTTTCACGCAAAACAAGTACAAATCTGTTGACCTTCTAGGGTCTACACTTTGTTCGGTTCAGATGGAAACATGAAATTTGTGTTTCGGGTAAACAGATCTCGGATGAGTTCGATGTTTGTGCGCAGCAAACCTCAGTTATGGTCCCTGCCGCTTACGCAAAATGTGTAACAAGGCTTTGGGACTTCCCACTGTGAAGAATTGGTAACACGTGGCCACTCTCTGCTGGTCCGTCTGTCCTATTGATAATCAGAAATTCCATGACCCCTTGTTTCCCCTTCTCTGAAAATATTGTGATCAATGCGATAGAAGATGCGGTTGTTTACGGATTTTTTTCATATTCGTTGTGAAACATGTGGACAATGAGAAGACACACTCTATCCAAAGAGCCACGAGAAAGAATACGATGGTTGATAGTTGTGCATTATAAAATGCCACAGTAATACAACTGTCGCAAGAAGCGAGTGGACAATAAAATATTTCGAAAGTTAACATGCCTTATGCAAGAGCTAAATCTGCCTATTACAAGTTTTTTCTTTAAGCCTAAAATATTATATAAACTATTAATTACTATTAGACATTTATTAACAAAACAAGACCGTAACCAACTCTCTGTAGCACCGGATAATCGAGATTTTAACTAGATTAGAACGGTTCGCCATTTAAAAATTTATTTTAAAAATGAGAAATCGAGGCTAAGTCTCGAATATACCAGTGGCCTGGTTACCACTATGCACACATCTTGTCAAAACTATAAACAATGATCTGTTATAGCAAGAATGGTCAGCTCTTTATCTAAATCTTACATAATGTATCTTTAGAAGATATATTACTATTTTCTACTTCGACCTTGAAATCGCATGCTTAAAGATTTTTTTTATTTGATAAGACATACATTATTGTGCTATTTTAAGAAATGACAGGTTTTGATAAGATAAAAATTATGTTGCAATAGAAAAAATATTTGTAGAGCATGAATTCCTTTGATTCTACAGAGATGAGTTTTAGTCAGGTACAGGTGTGTGTGAATCATCAAGAGGGTATAAAACAGGTAAATTATCTCAGGTAGATCACAGTTTAAGGTGTACATCACAGTTAGACCGATTCTCTGACAAGGCATCACTATCAGGTGAGTACATTTTCAATCTATTAAATTCTTCTATGATATAAAGAATATATTACACAATTAAGGCTGGTTCTCTTTGACTTTATTCATAGACAAGACACCAATATCTTGTACGTGAACTAAAATCCAATCAATGAACATAAACTATATGATTGATATGTACATTATTAAACATGCATAATGCAAGAGGTAGATCTGGCTATTGCAGGTCTTTCTTTGGGCCTTAAATGTTATGTAAACTATTAGTTACACATTTATTAACATGAAAAACATTAATGAACTCTCGATGCCATCTTATATGTCGGATTTTCACTGGATTTGAATCCAATCTGCTGTTAAACGCACATCGATGATTAAATCCAAAACTGGTTAATCGAGACTATGTTTTTATCGTACCGACTTTAGTAATGATGATCGAGGCTAGGCCTAAAATTCAATCGCTAATATCTCGGTTCATAGAGGAGCACTTTGACTGAAAATTTCAGCATATTCCCTTTACATTATCTAGTTTTTAACTATTTAGTGAAAACTGCCAGTTCTTTATCTAATTTTCCATAATGTCCCTTTAATAAATCTATTTTAAATGCAAAGTCTGTAATGATTTGCTTTATATTTATTTGTCTTATTTCAGATAAAATGAATTCCCTTTTTATATTTGCTGTATTTGCATTAATAGCGTCATGGTAAGTAATGTAAGGTAATGTTAATCAACGGTGTTGAACAGGTGTGTTTCGTATAGTTTTAGTTTAAGTTTGTGATAAGAATTACCCAGAACAATAACGAGTTTTCCAGAAGGTAATGGACTAATCCAAGTTCCTGAAGCAACGATCGCGAGTTTTACAACATCTAACCGTTGCTTTAGTACTGGACAATTCTCGAAATTTTGCGCTCGTTGTGTTTACACGTGATCAATTAGCATTGTCCAATCAGGGGTCGTCAAACATAACACACTGTAAACAAATATGGCAGCCTCCATAGAAACTCTTTGTTGATCAGGTATGATTTCCAGCAACCTTGACATTGATCGAACCGTGAACTTTGCAACTCGATTGTCACATGTAGACATTTTAGCTATAAGCGCGAGACTTGATAATCGTAACGATATTTTTAACGAAGGAATCTGATAGGATCACAAGCTGGGCTTATACCCAATCAAAAATAGTGCCAAAATATGCGGGGTATTACGTGAAGGGCTTGATAAGATGTACGTAGTTAAGGCGAGATTAGGCATTCTATTGAAGATGGGACTAATCAAGATAAGTATGGTATATTCTAGAAAGCAGAATGTTTCTATAATAACGCTATGCACATTAACTGGCAATTACGTTTATACTGCACAACAACAAAAATATAGCACTGTTAAATTTCTTGTAGAAACTGGTTATTATTTTATGATTTATCAGTTAAACCGTTTGCAGGGGCGTGTCCAGGAATTTGAGCAGTTTGGGTCCAAGTTGCAGACAACGTCAAGTTTGGCGTCAGGTCGGGGGGGGGGGGACTTCACGTTAATTGAATTAAATCAGAAGCATGGAGACAATATTTCTGCTCATTAAGGTGTATACATCTATAGGATTATAGTGGGGTGAGCCAAAGCAGACTCCTTGCCCCCCCCCCTCTTGACACGCGCCTGATTTGGTTTCATACAACTAATTCACAAACCCAAATAGTCACTATAATTGACTATAAATATATTATAATTTAAGCTATGGTCAGACATTCTCCTTGATTGATACCAATAAAGATGATATACTGGTGTTTGCAGAGTATAAAGCTATATTTGATGCTTATGATACTGACTGTGAGTATTCCAACACCATATATGGGTGATATTAAATGTTTTCCAATTATCAAATGAAATTCACTAGTGTCTGGAACAAATGTTTCAGATCTGTAGGATTCTTATGCTAACCAATTAATTAAAATGTTGTAACGTATAGAAGAGTTGTTGAAAGTTAGCGTGCCTCTTACATACACAAACAAAACATAAGGAATGTTCAATCACGGATCTGGTGATTCTAGATCATGATCAGGTACCCGTGATTCTCGATAAGGGATCTGATGCTTGTTATTTGTTACTCTAGATCACTAATCCGGTACTTGTAATGCTAGATCATAGATCTGGTACTTGTGATTCTAGATGACGAATCTGATACTTGTGAATCTGGTATTTGTGATTCTACATCACGAATCTGGGACTTTGGATTCTAAATCTGGTACTTGTAATTCTAGATCATGGATCTGGTATTTGTGATTCTAGATGACAAATCTGATACTTGTGAATCTGGTATTTGTGATTCTACATCACGAATCTGGGACTTTGGATTCTAAATCTGGTACTTGTGATTCTAGATCACGGATCTGATACTTGTAATTCTAGATCACGGATCTGATACTTGTGATTCTATATCACGAATCTGGTATTTTTGATTGTAGATCTGGCACTTGTGATTCTAGATCACGAATCTGATAAGTTTGATTCTAGATCACGGAAACGGTACTTGTGATTCTAGATCACGGATCTGATACTTGTGATTCTAGATCATGGATCTGGTACTTGTGATTCGAGATGACGAATCTGGTACTTTTGATTCTAGATCATGAATCTGGTACCTTTGATTCTAGATCTGATACTTGTGATTCTAGATCACGGATCATGTACTTGTGATTCTAGATCACGGATCTGGTACTTGTAATTCTAGATTATGAATCTGATACTTGTGCTTCTAACGCCGTGCATTATCGGGAGCCATAGTGGCTCAGTGAGTAGGGCGCTAGTTCACTAATCATGCAGACCGGTGTTAGCCGAGAACGTTCGCGTGGGACGAAACACATAGACACAAGAACCATTGACATTTGGGATTCAATTACTTCTCGCGCAAAGTTCCCTCAGAGAATACTGTATGACGTATATCCGTCTTCCTTATCCCGGTTGGTTCAGAAAAGTAGGACGATAAACCTCATTTCATTGTCCCTAGATTAGTTTTACTAATTATCTTTAAAGGGGTATTGAAAATATGTAACAATGATGTGTATCTTTACAGCTGACGGTAGAGTGTGGCCGGCTGATGTCGCAGCCGCGACTAAATTAACTGTTCCTCAAATACAAGCAGATTTCAATAGGTATGACTTCGACAAGGATGGTAAGATAGACGTCAAAGAATTACAGAGAGTTTTCGACGCTTTTGATCTTAACAGTAAGTAACTGCATACTGTATTATTTTACTGTGCATAAGGCCTGGTTCCCTGGCCGAGATAGTTCATCCAGATTTTCCGGCGTGGTTCCCTCTTGTCAGTGATGCGGGACGGAGGACTTGACAAGGACAGTTGTCTACTAGTCATTCGGATGGGACGGTACAAATATTATCACCACTAGAAGCAACAAATTCCAGAACAAGCCAGAACTCATACCAAAATGGCCGCTTTATACAAATGAGTATTTAGGGGAATACTAACCCGAACCCTAACCCTTTTAAGAGAAGTAAAAACTAAATTAGACCCAAGTTCAGTCTTTTAAAAAGGGTTAGGGTTCGGGTTAGTTATCCCCAAAATTCTCATTTATATAAAGCGGCCATTTTGGTCTCCGGAAGCACCCGAACCTCGATAAACTACTAGAAGGTTTTATTTGTACCGTGCGGAAAGGACGGCCAGTCCTCGATAAACTACTAGAAGGTTTTATTACTCAACAAATAGCTTCTCGAAGTATGTAATAAAATCTAATCAGGTGACACAGTATGATTATGTAAACTGATCCTGGTGTTGTTCTGAAAATATAATTTATCTTTTATAGAGAATGGCGAAATATCATTGGAAGAATTTGTTAAAGGTAGCAAACAGGTAAATACAATTGGCTTCCAGATCGAGCGAGGGTTCAATTTAAAGCTCTTGTGAATGTGTTTAAATCAATTTATTCTGACACCGCACCCAGTTATTTAAAAGAACTCTTTGATTTCTATACTCCCCGGCGATCCAACCTTCGTTCTTCAAGTGATCGTACTATTCAAAAAAAGTAGGGGATATTTGATTTTTAAGTGTTATTAAAGTCACCTAATAAAACTGACGAAGAAACAAATGACAAAATGAAATGAAGTTCACATTCATCGATTTATTCCAAATGATCGTTAGACTAAGTAAGGCACAGACTGACCATTATAAGGGTAAAATGATACCCGGGGTCAAACAGCAAAGTTACCACAGCAAACAAGCATTGATCCGACGTGGCATACTCCTAATGAGACGTCTAAGGTCATTTTGGTCCAGATTGTCCCATTCCTGTTGCAACGCAGCAGCAAGTTCTTGGACATTGGCAGGACGTTGTTGACGTTGACGTAACCTCTGTCCAAGCATGTCCCAGACATGCTCGATGGGGGAGAGGTCGGGACTCAGTGCTGGCCAAGGTAATGTGGTGATGTTCTGTTGTTGGAGGTAACCTGTAACGATCCTGGCCCTGTGACATCTTGCGTTGTCATCCTGGAAGATGAAACGGCGGCCATGACGTCGTGCGAACGGCACAACATGGACTGCCAAGATGTTGTCCCGGTAGTACTGGCCTGTAACACGCCCTGCAACAACATGTAAAGCCGTTCTTCCAGCAACAGTGATGCCTCCCCACACCATAACAGAACCACCCCCAAATCGATCATGTCTGATGACGTTAACGTCTTGGAAGCGCTCGTTTCGACGACGCCACACCCTCCTACGTCTGTCCAAAAAATCAACAGTGAACCTTGACTCATCTGAAAACATCACATTGCTCCAGCGTCGATTATCCCAGTGTTGACGATCCCTACACCAACGACGTCTTGCCTGAATGTGATGATCTCTCAAACAAGGGATCACGCGAGGACGTCGGGCGCGAAGGTGACCCCTATGCAGTCGATTCCGAATCGTCTGGCCACTCACTCTCACACCAGTGTCTGTTTGAAGACGAGCGCTGATCTGATTTGCTGTGATGACACGATTTCTCAAGGCCAAGGTACGGATAAATCGATCCTGGGCTTGAGTTGTCGCCCTTGGTCGACCTGAGCGTGGTCTGTCCTGTACAGATTGTGTATCACCGTATCTGGACCATAGCCTGCTTATGACAGACTGAGAAACATTCATCGTCCGCGCCACAACCGCCTGTGTTGTGCCGATCTGTAGCATGCCAAGGGCACGTAACCTTTCATTTTGGGTAAGCCGACGCATATCAAAATTTGTTTTCTGGTCACTAAAACAATTAAACTGATGTTTCCACCCTGGAATTCAATGCCACAATGACTGTAACATTCAAAGTCAGAGTCGTGCAAATCTTGGGTTAGACCCCCATGATGATCCCAAGCATCACCTGCATTCCATGCGGTAGCTATTGGTGCGTTTGGGCGTCACATGTAACTGGAAATGTTTCTTCTGTTAGGTTCTATAGTGACTTTTTTCGTAGTCATTTGCATATTTTAGTATTATGCCCCCAAAATCAAATATCCCCTACTTTTTTTGAATAGTATATAATAAGCGTTCTGGTGAATATGCTTTCTCCGTCAGAGCAGCTAAAATGTGGAATGATCTTACAAAAACTCTTCGAGAGTCCTCTTACATCCAGAGCTTTAAGACTAACTTAAAAACATACTTATTTATATTTCAAAAATGTTTTTGAACTGTTTTGTTGTGAATGCGCTTAGAAATACTCATGTACTAGCAGAATTCCCGGCTTCGCTCGGGGGTCATAACCCTGAAACTGGAAGTGGTAGGTCTGCCCCGAGTCTGTAATTATGGGTATAGGGGTATCTCGTACCGGGGAGTAACATAGGCCGGGTGGTGTTAGTCTACCACTTCCGGTTTCGGAGTTATGACCCCCGAGCGAAGCCGGTCTGTTCGGGGTTGGCTGCTACACTAGATCTGCCCCGAGTCTGAAATTTGGGGTATAGGGGTAGCTCGGATCGGGGAGTAACATAGGCCAGGTGGCGTTAGTCTACCACTTCCGATTGTCTAAGTTATGACCCCGAGCGAAGCCGGTCTGTTCGGGGTTGGCGGCTACACTATGTTTGCCCCGAGTCTGAAATTTGGGGTATAGGGGTAGCTTGGACCGGGGAATAACATAGGCCAGGTGGCGTTAGTCTACCACTTCCGGTTTCCGAGTTAGACCCCCGAGCGAAGTCTGTCTGTTCGGGGTTGGCGGCTACACTAGGTCTGCCCCGAGTCTGAAATTTGGGGTATAGGGGTAGCTCGGACCGGGGAGTAACATAGGCCAGGTGGCGTTAGTCTACCACTTCCGGTTTCGGAGTTATGACCCCCGAGCGAAGCCGGTCTGTTCGGGGTTGGCGGCTACACTAGGTCTGCCCCGAGTCTGAAATTTGGGGTATAAGGGTAGCTCGGACCGGGGAGTAACATAGGCCAGGTGGCGTTAGTCTACCACTTCCGGTTTCGGAGTTATGACCCCCGAGCGAAGTCGGGTATCCTGCTAGTAATACATATTTATATCCCAGTAATATTTCAACAGCTAATAACAAAGAATGCATATTTTTTGTTGTAGGCTCAACCTGTTGTAGGCAGAAAATAAAGATGGAGAAATAGATCTGATTATAGAATATCCTGGATAATTTTTAGAACATTAAATAAATCCCATTTTACTTTTTGAAATTAGACAACTGTTTTTCATGTAAGATAAACGTTTGTAATCGTAATTAAATTGTTTTTAAAGGAGTTAAACTTGTATTCTTTGGAACCTAAAAAATCGACACAAATGAAGAGAGAGAGAGAGAGAGAGAGAGAGAGAGAGAGAGAGAGGGGGGGTAATTTCGGGACTAACACATGATTCAAGTTTATTTCAATAATTCGCTTGCACGTAGGGGTCTTTAGCAGTGGGGGCAAACCGGAGGACCCGGAGGAAACCAACGAGTTGGACAGGCGACCCTACTCCTTCTCAGAGAATTAGTATAGGAACATTAGACACTGACAAGTTTGCACTGAAAATTCTACACACTCTTCGAACGACGCAATTGTGAGAACTCCTTTCTAAAAGTGGCAAGTTTTCCTAATAAGTAAACTGGTGCCGCATCGCAACTGTATAGGTGTAGGTACATATATCACTTACAGTCATACAACCGAGGCTAGATGTAGGGTACCGGAATCTGCCGAGGTTTGCCGAGTGACCAGAGAACAACAAAATGTTTTAGCTATAGTGAATGTGCAAACATGGTGTCTTAGTTAGTGCACGACATTCAACACTATTCTACAATCACTCGACACAAGCTAGGTCATTTCGGTACTAACACATAGTTTAATTTTATTTCAATAATTCGCTTGCGCGTAGGGTATATAGCAGTGGGAGGAAACCGGAGGCTGAATATTGATTTGAAAGTTTTTTTGTAAAAACCCAATATGGCGGCCAAACGGTTGAAAATGTTATCGAAGAAGATATTTGAAAATAAAAGATAATATCTGGGACTAACACCACCATATGTCATTGTTAGTCTATTTTTGAAATGGAGAGAACTATTCATGTTCGGGAAAAGTCGGAAGGCCTGGGAAACTTCCGGAATAAGTTTTCGGAAGCGGTCATAAAAATTGTAATATGCCATTTTGAAAGCATCAATGTGTCCTCAAATTCGCACAATCTTTGATGCTAAAACTAATCGAGCGAACTTCCGAATTTCGAAAAACCGTCCGGTAGAGCCCCTATGGGATTCGTTCAAAGAATCTAGAAATGAAAACACAACGAAGATCAATTGAGAAATATCCGAGATATGAGCAATCTGGGACAATTTTAGTCCAATCCGTAAAACACTTCCTGTTTGTCAAAAATGACCCAATTTATACATTATCTATCTTGGCAAAATGTTTACACCATGCCCAGTTACCGAAACAGGTAATAAAATAAAAATAACAGTTATAAAATACATGAATTTAATTGATTATATCTTAATTAAATTATTTTTTACTCAGACGTTTATATAATGTGTACTTGTTGAAGCTTTAGTCGTTCGGATGGGACAAAAAACCAAGGTCCCGTGTACACATTGGCGTGCACATAAAATATTTCTAGGCAGTTGGAATTTAATATAAGAGTAGGCCTCAACGCCGCTGCCCGATCAAAATTTCTCTCAAAGCACACTGTATGGCATATGCCCGTCTCCATTAGCCTTGCCGGAGCAGAACAGTAGGACGTTCATTTCATTTCATTTTATTTCATTTTGTTAAAGCTAATAGTAAGTGTAGGGAGACTAAAGGGCCCCTAAACCTTGTTAATTGGCTACTAAACATCACGTGATTATAGATACTGTTTTTAGTTTTGTATTGGTGACAAGGGAATGTTTTGTTGAGAACAAAGTCCATCGGACGTATTGCAAGACACAACCGCTTCTTATCTCCCCTGTCACATGGCAAGAAAGTATTTAAGAAACATTCCAACAATTTCAACATAAAATGTTAACGAAATAGTAACATTATAAAGATGCACGTTAAATGAATACAAATAGCGAATTTGTTTAAATTTCAAATTTAATTATCAGAAGTAAAATTGGGTTTGAAAACTGAACAAAGGGGACTAATTATATTATCAAAAAAAAAAAAAAAGAGAAAGTCGTAGGGTACTAAAAAAAATCAGAAAAGATGGATGGGTGGTTACTAATTGTCTTCTTTATGGTATGTGGATTATCGGTTGATAGCTATCAAAGAAATGAAATGAAATGAAGTGGGGTTTAACGTCCTACTGTTCTATTCCGACCTGGGCTGATGAAGACGGGCATACGCCACACAGTGTGCTATTGGGGAAGTTTTGCCAGGACAGCGGCGCTACGGCCTACTCTTATATCGAATTCCAACTGTCAAGGGATCTTTTACGTACACGCCAATGTGTACACGGGACCTCGGTTTTTCGTTCCATCCGAACGACTAGGCAGCTGTTCTTGTCAGGCCATCCGTACAACATTAGTGATCAAGGAGAAGAAGACACTAGTACTTATACTAAACTCAGCTACACCTGTATGTTGCCGATTTTCTATTTTCACACGAACATCGCTTTCGTCAATTTGAGGATACATGTATTTATATTGCCTTTGAAGATTTGAAGAAAAGTCTCACGTCAAATAACATCACTATGGGTCTCCTTTTAGTCGATCACTTTTTGAGCCGACTTCCTTATTTTTTCGGGAATAACGTAGCTAAGTGGGTAAGACGCAGGCTCGCTAGCCTGGAGGTCGGGTGTTCGATCCCTGCATTGGCCGAAATAGTTCAGTGATGCAGGACGGAGGGCCCGACAAGGACAGCTGCCTAGTCCTTTGGATGAAATGAAATGAAATGAAATGGGGTTTAACGTCCTACTGTTCTGCTCCTATACTGGGCTAATGAAGACGGGCATACGCCATACAGTGTGCTATGAGGGAAATTTTGCCCGGGCAGCGGCACTATCGCCTACTCTTATATCGAATTCCAACTGCCAAGGGATCTTTTACGTGCATTCTAATGTTTTCACGGGACCTCGGTTTTTCGTCTCATCCGAAGGACTAGACAGCTGTCCTCGGTTTTTCGTCTCATCCAAGGACAGCTGTCTAGTCCTTCGGATGAGACGAAAAACCGAGGTCCCGTGTATACATTGGAATGCACGAATCAGAATTCGATATAAGAGTAGGCGATAGTGCCGCTGCCCGCTCAAAATTTCCTTCATAGCACACTGTATGCCAGTCTTCATTAGCCTATTATAGGAGTAGAACAGTAGGACGTTCAACCTCAATTCATTTATTTATGATTATGATGTAAATGAGAAAACGGGTAATATTTTGTTCTATTAAGTTATATACAGTGTCCTGGTTACACGTACAATGGTGAGTAGGGTGGCGTTAAAAGAGCTAAATCTCTATTCTTTGGCAACTAGAAATGGACAAAAATGGGTCGCAAATGTAATATGAATGCATATAAACTTTTTTACATTCGATCGTTTCTGTTTTACTCTAATTTCTAATCGGTTATGTTCGGTGAAATATGCCAAGAGTTAAAAGTGAATGGCAGTCTTTGACCTCTGGTTATTCCAGTCTACACCGGTAGTATTCCCCCGTGGGGTATGTTTAGCCTCGTTCATCGAGTCGCTTCATTACAAATGGCGGTCGAAAGCATTCTGGCATGAGATTCGTGTGCCACTTTTAAAATGTTCATTTTGTCTTATATATTGGATGGTTTAAACAGTATTTATATCGAGAATATTATACAATAATGTTGGTATCTTATCATGAAAAGATGGGCTTCTGATATCCAATATATAACTAAAATAATGTAATTAGCTTTTGTCTGTATCATAATATATACTTGTACATTGTACATATATTATACACCCAAACCAGAAGGAAGCAAATTAATAAAATCCTATTTTGTATCCTATTCTTTATGCTTTTTATATTGTATAATAATCTTGAAATAAATACTGTTTAAACCAAAAACAGTTTTTGTGAAATACTAAGAGCGACTGTGCCTTTCAATCTTTTTTTAACTGTTAAGACACTGATATGTAAAGCTTTCGTCAGCAGATTTAGAGCAAGTGCTCGCCAATTAATTTAATGATTTCTTCGATACGAAAATGTCAAAACTGCAAACTGGTATTGAATCTACACTACAGAATGTAACGCCACCTTCTAGTGCATCATCTGCCATTAACTGTTTCCACTGAAAACATTCGCAGGATCATATTATCAAGATCATTATGCTACTTGTGATCTGGACCGATTGCCAACATGGATTCTCGGGAAAGGTTTAATTGTGGATACCATATCTCCACTTATCACTTATAATATTAACTCTTTTATGATCTCATCTTCTGTACCAGAATATGTACAATATGCGCTTGTAACACCTGTATTAAAGAAATCGTCACTTGATAACAAATATTTAAAAAATACCACCCAGTTTCGAATTTGCCGTTTCTTGAAAAGGTCTTGGAAAAGATTATTTCATGTCAGGTTAAGAATATCTTGCGAAAAACAATATTCATGACCTGTTACAGTCAGCTGTATACAAACTTGGACATAACAATGGGGCTGTCTTGCTAAACATAAAAACAGCTATTGATAAAAAAAAGAATCAGAGAATCAATGTGGTATTATATTTATCAAACAGAAGAAACAAGTCAAGATAAATGGTATCTTGTTACAACCAAATCATATCTCTAGTGGCGTACCACAAGGTTCAGTACTTGAACCTTTGTTGTTCCTGTTTAATGTTCTTCTATTAAAGATACATTATGGGAGATTAGATAACGAGTTGGCAGTTCTCACCATAATAGTTAAAAACTAGATAATGTAAAGGCAATTTGCTGAAAATTTCAGTCAAATTGATCCACTATGAACTGAGAAATAATCGATCGAAAGTTCCGCATAGCCTCGGTCATCATTAATAAAGTCGGTACGACAAAAATCATAGTCTCGATTATCCATATAATCGTTAAATCGAGAAGGAAAGTTAAGCAGCAAATCGGATCATAATCCAACAATTATCGCAGGCTAGCGTTGACATCGAGAGTTGATTATGGTCTGGATACGTTAATTAATGTCTAATTAATAATTTAGATAACATTTCAGGCCGAAAGAAAGACCTGCAATAGGCAGATTTAGCTCTTGCATAATGTATGTTTAAGATAGCTACAGCTAATCACGGTTTCGCAGACGATACTCAAATTTATGACTCCAACTCGTAAGCAAAATGAATTTTCAGTTGAG